TATACATGGATGTGTAGATCATGCAAAGAAGTAACTTTCAGACACAAACTGAAAGAAAGTCCTCCTGAAACAGATACTTTTATATAAACATTGAATTACACGAAAGGAAAAAATTCTTTCGAAACAAATACTTCTATATGAACACTGAATTATACAGAAGATACTTTTCTCTACTCAGTTTGTATTTCGAACATTCGTTGTGGAATAAAAATCAGATATCATTCACATAAGTTCTACTATAAATGAATGCTAACAAATTGCTCTTACATGGAACACTGTCATCCTCACTGGTATACATCAATGTTTCGTCTTAAGACACTTGTCCCAAGGTTCATCAGTACCAAATTGGATAACATTATAGAAAATACACACAATCAATTCATAAATTACGATTTTTTAATGTCACGGAATAAGCTTGATCTGCTTATGTCATTGATGACATCGTAATGACATTCATTCACCTATTTGATTCAATCCCAGCCAAAAACTTCCGTTCCCAAAAATTAATCACTCCTAAAAATATAACCCCTTCAATTCAAACATTCACAATATTTTGTAAGCAATCTCAAAAGCTAATAAACATTTTTGACTTGACTTGACTGTGTAGGTATATCCGGGACTGGCTTGAACATTTAAAGTTCATTTCTTTAGATTTGTTTACTGCCTGAATAATAAGAAAAAGTATATTACTTGTGAAATTTATTCCATAATTCAGCCACTCACTGTGTACCTAATTCATTAAATGCGTCGTAAATTTTGGGTGAATGATGTTTTTAGTTATGTACGGTGTTGGTGCTGTAGATATTGAAAAATTCGTTGTAATTTTGAACATCTCGAATATAAAAAAAACAATCTCTGAGATAATGATAATACCTATCTGCAAAGAACCATATCATAATATGTACTTACGCATTGAAAAACATTTATATTTTTGTTAGGAAATTTGTTTATATTTTTAATGGCGACTTGCCTTGGTTCAACACGTGTAGCAGAGCATGCATCTTCATTTTATTCCGTCATAGCATCACATCAAACTCACTCTAACAGAAGTTCGTTTACAGCAACCAATTTCTATTTCAAAATGAGTAAGAATTATGTTGTTTCAAAGATTTTGTCCATGTTGATGGGTCTACTTCAAACTGTAATATTTGTTAGCATAAACATTAGGTGGGCTTCGATGAAGTCGACGAAGGCCTGGTCATTATTGGCGAAGGTTCTACCGGTGAGAAAGTTATCGAAGTGCTTGAGAAGAAGGTGTTCAATTGGCGAGAGGTCTGGTGAGTGTGACGGGCGAGGTATAACTTCAACGCTCGATTCGTTCAATTTTCGGACGGTAATTTGTGAAACATGCGGACGGTCGTTGCCGAAGAACAGGATCCAACCTCTTCTGTTAACAAGTGCCGGCTGCTGCCGGCGCAATTTCCGGTATGGCCGAAGTAAACGATATTGTGCACACTTAAAGTTGGCGGCACTCTCAAAGGCCAAAAAACCAATACATAGAAATTAACCGGCTGCGAACTAGTCCAGGAGGACTGTAGAATTGGCGGTTCATATTGGATAATTTTTATGATTGGCTGAAGAGTCATAAAATTGAATCTGAAGTCATGTTACGGTGACGAATAGAAATTGGGGAATGCGGGGATGGTTATCGTTGTCATGTCATCAAAGTTCAGTTCAGGAACTGATCGCGATTTGAGTGTTGAAATTCGATATTGGTGCAGTTATGACTGTTGTTTGTTACCTATCTGTTTGAAATGTGGCGTCCTTGGAAAAGTACTAATAGTAGTAAGGAGTGTGATAACAACGCAGGCTTTTCCTGTGTAGTGGTTCCAATAGCGATGGTGAACAATGCGAAAAAGAGATACTAGTGAATAAGATTCGGATGCATTTAAATATTGAAACACAGAGAGTATGTTTCAATGTATACAGTGTGTAACAACGAAAACTCAACAGAGCCGTTTTTGAATATAAAAAGCGAGATTTAAAAAAAAGCTCGGACACGTCGATTTTTAATTAAAGGGGGACACCTTTCGGACTAATCAGATTTTTTGCAGTACGCACCCCCTCGGAGGGATTGTTCGAATTTTGCTCTTACATTATTCAACATCTCAGGAGTTATAGCTCGGCATTCATCAATAATTCTACGACGTAATTCATCCAAATTGGCTATCTGTGTAGCATAAACTTTAAACTTCAAATATCCCCACAAAAAGTGTCCAGTTGTGTTAAATCTGGTGATCGTGCTGGCTATTCGATTGGACCTTTTCTGCCAATCCATTGTCCTTCAAAATAATTATTCAAACAATTTCGAACCTGCTGGGCATAATGGGGTGGTGCACCGTCTTGTTGAAAAATGGATAAATTCATCTCAGCATCTTGGATCCTGTTCAATTATTTCAACTGTACGAGGTTGTATTGCCTCTTCAAGAAGTTGTAAATAAGAATCACCGGTTAAATTTCCATCAATGAAAAATGAACCTATAATATGATTGTCCAATATTCCGGCCCAGACATTCAACTTTTGGGTATGTTGGGTATGTATTTCTGCGTATTGTCTTGGGTTTTCATCCGACCAATAACGGCAATTGTGACGGTTCACGCAACCATTTAAATAAAATGAGCTTTCGTCCGAAAAACAGATGTTATAAAGCAGCTGGGTATTTGGGATTAATCTCTCACTCTTGCCCTCACAAAACTCCTGTCTTCGGTCAAAATCATCCTCATTGAGTTCATGAACAAATTTAATTTTGTAAGGATGGAATTTGTGGTTTTCAAGGATTCTCCATTAACTAACATGGCTTATTCCGGCCATTGTTGATAAACCTCCGATACTTAACCTGGGATCGGCGATGACTTGACCAATCACCCCAATCACATTATCGTCATTCACTACCCTTCTCTGAGCATTTCTTTCCTTATTTAAAACTGAACCTGTCTCCCTGAATTTTGTGACCAAATCCAGAACGTGATTTCTGCTAAGTTGTTTACCAGGGTTTTGCTCGTTAAATTAAATTGATGTACTATTAGCATTTTGGTCGTTGCCCAAAAATGAAGCAATAACTGAAACCCTTTCAGCATTAGTGTAAGGATTTTTAAACAAATAACAATAGACCCGTTTAAACAAAACAATCGAACGATGTACTAATGAAAACTGGAAGAAGAGGAGTGGGTATTGATTTCAAAAAAAGGATTTTATTTAACAAAAAACTGATAAGAAGAACTGCTCGAAAATTTTTTTATGTAGGCATACAAGTTACCGAGTGGTCTGTCTAATGTATTATTAACATGGCAATTTTAACTTCAAATTATCTCGAAAACTAATCGTT